TTGAGATATTTTAACTTAAAGTCTAAAAAAAATTTACTTAGAAACAATTTGCCTGGTTTCTACTGACACCCCCCATACGTTATCCTGAGCCAAGAGTGAAAGCATACACTTAACACGTTACTCTAGTTATATCGACAATAGTAAAAATAATTCAATATATCGATACAGTAAGTTATACTGATATTTTACATTAAAATTTTTTAAAAATAATGTCGGTATAAAAAGATTTTACTATGATGTCGATATATCCTGATGTCAATATATCAAGAGCGGTGTGTGTCATGTCAGATTCTCGGAGCGTGATTATAAAAACATATCGGCGGATTAGCAGAATGGATCTAAATTAGAATCCCCGATTTAACAATTGCAGAATGCATAATGGCTGAAATTTTGGGCAATCGCATTGTTAAAATATATTAACCTTAATTTAGGTCAATTCTGCAAATTCGCCGATATGATTAGTATATACCTCGATCTAAACGTATACGCGATATACATGCATTAAACCTCGAAATGCATAGTAAAGCCAAATAATATTAAAGGTAAGATTAACACGATACGATAGTAAAAATTATGAAAAGTAAGTACAATTTAATATTAAATAGTGGTTGGACCCAGGTATGCATCATCCGGTGGGTTTTACTGAGACAATGATTTTCTGCGGTGATTAATTTCTGCGATACGTAATTCTTCTGCACAAAAATTAAATGTTTATTATTGCAAATTATCGCAGAAAATAATCACCGCATAATCTCGCAGGTTAACATACACTCCGCTCCTGGTATATTTTTGATAACAACATCAAAATGTTAGTATAAATTATAACTATTATAATTATGATTAATGTCTAATAAAAATTTATTAATCAAATTGTTTGACAAATTGGGCATTGTGCAAAATGCCCAAGTTCAAACTGCCCAAATGCCCAATATTATCATATAATATCTCTTGACGTATATGCACAGACAAGCACATTTTCTATGTATAAATGTTTCATTTACGTGTTCCAGGTACAGGCGTTCCAGGCGCAGGTATATTTGCTCTGGGAGCAGATGCTCCAGGTATTCGCAAGACATTTTTAAACTTCTTCTTATGTGTTCCAGGCACAGGTGTTCCAGAAATATGAGTTCCAGGTACAGGAGTTCCAGAAATATACGTTCCAGGTACAGGTATATATGCTCTAGGAACAGATGATCCAGGTATTGGCAAGACATTTTCAATCTTCTTTTTATATCTTTTATAATGTAAAACTATAGCAGTAATAAGAATTCCAACTAAAATGATTCCACCTACACTAATACCAATTCCAATAAATAATAAATTATTATTTAATTGCGATTCACTTGGTGAGATGAACATTGTATTAACCCAGGTATAATTTTGAGTGTTAAGAATATAAACATTATTGCTGATTATCATCGTTGGTACAGATGTAGTTAGACCTGATTACACAAAAATTAAATTTAATAATTATTATAAATAAGTAAGCAAAACAGTAAACATAAAATTAAGATAATTACCAAATGCAAGAATCATATAATTCCTATATATTGTAGCAGAATGAAATGTGAGTGGTGGTGGAGCATTTGTTTGAGAAATATTTGGGATAGACCAAGTCCATGTATTCGTATTTAATACTGCAACATCGGAAAGCAAATTATCTATGTTTCCTGAACTATTTATTATTGAACCTCCATATATAATAATATTTCCATCTTGTGCTAACAAAAAAAAAAAGTAATTGATTAATATAAATGTTTAATATTAACTTAATATTATTAGTGTAGATGCAGCATACTTAAAACGGCTGAATGTCCAACGCGAACGCTGACAGTGGAGCCACTGGAAGTCTGAATAAGTATATTTATACGCATTTAATTAATTTAATTATTGACTACAATAAAGTCAAATTTGGTATGTACATTACTTTGTTAGACCAAGTGTATGAATTTGTGTCAAATGTTCGAGTCTATATTTAATTTCAAAATATTAAAAAAAAAAATAAGAATATTAATAATACTATAAAGAGTGCTAAATCAATTTTCATATCAAGGAAATGCATAAATCGGAAATATACTTTAGAAAGTTGAGGAATTCGGGTAAAACATTATTTAAAATCATACCTGATTCATATTAACTGGATATACAGCTGGACCTGAACCTTCACGTCCACCGATATAAACGATAAGGCCATTTGGTAATAAGTTAGCAGTATAATCAACATAAGTAAGGGTGCGCTGATATTGTAATGACCAAGTCATAGTAGTAATATCAAGTATATTTAAATCATTATAAAAATTAGAACCATCAGTTCCTCCAAAAATAAAAATTTTTCCATTATTAACAAAAACAGCTTGCATTTCATCACGTAAAGTAAAATTAGAATTAAATCCATTAATATTTGGTATTGTCCATTGTGAAATTTTAGTATTAAATATATATACTGATGAAGAATGGTCAAAAGTACTTGTATTTGGAATAAACATATTACCACCGACTATGAAAATAGAAAAATTATCGATAAGATTAACACAAGAACTGCCAGCACTATAATCTATGGGCATTCCGACATCCTTGTGCCATGGTGGTGTAGTTATATTAAATGAACTTGATAAATCAAGATACCATACTTCATTAGTGAAAATTGAAGGTGAAGATTGCGTCAAACCTCCAAAAAAATAAAGTTTGGTGTTAACTAGAGAACTAGCCTGCTTATATCGAGGGCTAGGTATGCCTTGACAAGTAACAAAAAGATATGCTAAGCCAAATACAATGAAGAAAAGAGCGGTTTGAAAGGGTTGAAAGTAATTCATGTTAAAATAAATCATGTCTATGAAAAAGAAAAACTATCATGTTGTAAAAATTGTAGAATTTATCATGCATTATTGTTGTAATCAAATTGACGTCTTTGACTTTCGGAATTAGAGAAAAAACTCAGGATGTCTGGACCAAAGTTGCTGATTTTATAAATATTACGCACTAGTGTAACATTCGCGTTTGTGCAAATGCTTAATTTAGTGAGCTGCGATAATCAAATCAAATCAGAATCAGGAAAATGTTTTGTTTCATGTGATTAATCACATTATTATTACGTATGAGATCAATTTTTGTGATGCTACGAAGTGAAATATCAGAAATTCAAAATGTCGGTATATCAATCTTTCAGGAATTCATTTGAAGATATGCAATACAATTATTTAATTCGAGCCTTAAATTACAATATTAAATTTTTAATTTCGCATTTATCATATATAAAAAACTTTTAAAATTTATTTAATGCATGCAACATATAAAAATAATATACAAATGATTTTAAAAAGAAATATAAAATATAAAGTATAATTTACAATAGTTTATAACTAAGATTGTGAAAAATCCATGTTACAAACTATACATAAATGAAGGATGCCTTTCTCCAAACTTCATAGTTTCTTCATCATCTATATCTATAGTATATTTTTTCTTAAGCTTAATATTATTAGCTCTATTCAACAAATTAAATTGAATTAAAGTTATAATTAGCGCAACAACTAAAAGTGCTAATGAAATACTATGACCGAATTTATAAGATGGAGCATCTTTTTCTTTATAAAATTGAGTGCTTATTCCTGCACCTATGTTACCAGCGGCTATCATCAAAGCGTCTCCTATGGCACATTTAGTTTCACCAGCCAAATTATTAATTAACCTTTTTTTTTTTACAATATTATTTTATAAAGCGTATTTATAAATTATTTATAATGATAACTTAAATGCTAAAAAAAAACCAAATAAACAGAGACTTACCATGTGATTGATGTAGGTATACATGGAAATAAACCTACTCCAATAATACAAGCACCAATATATTTGACTAAAAGTATAAAATATTAGTAACTTACACATATATTAATTACTCACATGTTATAAATAAAACTTACCAGTCATACTAGTATCATGCGTAAGGAGAAATGCGTAACCTAATATTGCTACTAACAAACAACACAATAAATATGGACCGCGAACTCCAGCTCGATCAGATGATATGGCTATAACCACTGCAGAACCAGATCCCAAAATAAATGGAGGAACGGCAAGAATTTGAGAAACAACTAATAAAAAAAAGAAATGATAAGAAAAAAATAATAATAATTTATTGATTATAAATATCAATAATAAAGGTGCTGAAAGTAGACTTACCACTACTAAATCCTAAACCGTTTACAATTGATGAAATGAAAAAAGAAAAAGAATATAAAGGAGCAAGTAAACAAAAATATAACAACATGGCCATATAGATTTTCTAAAAGTATTATAATAAAGACAATTAATAAAATTAATAGAAAGTCCCCAAGTTGTAATACAATAAAAATTTTTATAAAATTACCCAATCTTTAAAAGCTTCTATGATCTGATGGCTTTCAGTATAAAAAGATTCATGATGATGTGATGAGTTATGATTTAAACGTTCAACAGCTAATTTTCGTTCTTCTTTTGTAAGCCAATAGGCCGTTTCTGCACTGTCTGGGATTAAATAGTAAGAGAACAATGCAACAACGCATGTCACCACACCGTCAATAATAAATGCCTAAGGTAAAAAAAAAAAAAAAAACTTAAAAAAAAAACTCAGATTGTTATGAATTAAACAATAATTATATATATACCCATTGCCAGCCACTTAAACCATTTACTTCATGTAATATATTTGCGATGAAAAATGACAAAAGACCACTAAACCCGCCGGCAATTGTAGCAATTGAGACAAATAAGCTAATTCGAAAATTTTCTTCACAATTCTTATACCATCTTGTAATGTATAATACGGCGCCTGGAAAAAATCCAGCTTCAAATACACCCAATAAAAATCTTAATATCATTATTTGAGGAAAATTTTTTACCTAATAGAAAATAAAAATTTTTCAAAAACTTAATTATAATTTTTATAATTATTATTAAGAAATTATTAAATACTTACTGCCGCTGTAGACATCACTATGATACCACTTGCAAGCATAATAGTTGGAACTGAAAAGAATATAGCAATAAGGATAATGAAAATAATGAGAATAATACGAATGAATTTAACATTAAAAAATATTAAATAAAAAAAAAGATAAAACTAACTCCAAACTGAGGGTCTAGTATTTATTAATATGACATTCGATGGTACTTCGAATAATACATAAGCTCTATAAATGTAAAAAGTTAAAGTTAAAAATATTTATAAGAAAATATAGAAATAAATAAAGGAATTTAGGCCGCTTGTAGTTAAATCTTTAATTAATATCGCTTTCTAGGAAACGAGATATTTTTGTTGAGTTGCTCGTAATTAATTGACTAGATAACATCAATATTTTTGGCTTGAGTGAGCGAGTGAATTTTTAGACGAATACATTTGTTGCAGAAGAATTTCATTATTTATAGAAATCATATGATATCGGGCTCTTGATCGGTTGTTTAATTTTGGGGATGATGTTAACCGAAGCTTAACTTTAAACAGCCTTAGTGGAAAAATGACGTACACGAAGAATGAGCTTAAAATTATATTATATTGATTTTCAGTCAAATGAAGATCTTCTTCCAAATCTTCCAATTTTGCATTTCCAATATTAACTCTAAAAAAAAGAAGATAATTTAATAATTTACAATTGATCATAGAGCATGATCATAAAGCTTAAAAATATTTTTATCGCATCAAAATCAAATCAAAATTCATACTTATCCATAAAACTAAAAGTATAAAGAAGTGTAAATAATGGAATAACTCTTATATCGATTTTCCATAATAATTCTCTTTCTTCAATGCTCATAGTTTTAGTTGGTTTATTTTTTTCATCCATTTTTTTGGAATTATCGGTGTTTACGACTTCAAAGACTTCAAATGTTGTATCAACTTCAGCATCATTATTCTCGATTATATCACTTGAGTGCCTTGATTGTCTTGACATGATTCGAAATTTAGTGTTACAATGTTAGGATTAAACAATGTTAGCGAAATTCATGAATTTATAAGAATTCTTGAAAATATGCACTTTCTTTGTCGTTTAACGATCCAAGCTGCGCCACTATCTAACAATGTACTTATTAATTCACAAATTTGCATAATCTATTTTTAGGGAACGCTGTATTTTTCTAAATAATTAGATACTTGACTGATTTATTGGTAAAAGTAGTTTTTATCGTTTTATGGTTTCAAGTCATGTTTTTTTTTACATGTGATTTTGTTACAAAGTAAATTATCAAGGTTTTCGGCTGCTAACGCTAACTTTTTTAAATCTACAAATATGGTAAATATTGAGTTAAAATTTACTAAGCAAATTCTACAAATATGGTATATATGTCGTAAATTCTTAAAGTGGAAAAAATCTAATTATAAAAGACGCCTTTGTTTCCTTAATGAAACTATGCTTCCTTAATGAAACTAACATGCGAAACTAGCATATAAACTATACTCTCACTCTTGACAGTTTGTTGTCAGTTTATTGGACGCCAGACACTTCTATTCGAAGTAATTCATTATTCATTATTTATTATTTGTTATTTAACTACATGAACGTATTACGTAAGTAAAATTGATCTAAGTTAGTCGCCATATTATGTACAGTCAGTCTTCGTATTGCGCAATATCTATGCTACGCCGTAGTAAACGAATCGATTGATCGATATTCGTGTAACATTTTAGACAATGGCATAACAGTAGCACAGATTACAATGCTTTAACCATATCGATATTTCTTGGCAAAGTCTGTGCTACAGTAATTATATGCATAACCACTTTTTCATCACGGATGTAATGATGTGCTCTGAGACTAGTATTCAAGTTTTATCATTTGAATATAGATATTTAAATGAAGGAAAATTATTTTTATGAAAAATCTAAAATTGAAAGATCTATATTTTAATATAAGTTTTATTTTTCATTATAAATAGAATTGCTGTATTCTAAAAATTATGATTTGGCAAATTCAATTGAAATGCAAAGTGAACACCAAATACTTTACGCATAATTTACGATTTGAAATTATTGTAAAGCAAATCCAAAAAAAAACATGAATACAAAAATAATGTTAATTACTAATGCATTGATTAACTTGTTTACTATTTTTATTTCCACTTTTTATGTTATTGTCTTTGTGCGGATTAATACACAATCTTTTATCAAATGACATGATTGATATGCCATGCCAGATTCCTATTTTATGCAATATTTTACTCCTTATTAGAAAGATCTACATCGTTTGTTTCAAATTGTTCCGGATTTTTTGATCTACATCGATTAGCCAATCAAATTAAAAGCGTGTCTTTTTTTATGAATTTTCTTACAATGAATGATATTTGATTTAGAAAACATTTCTTTAACTAGATAATAAGTTTAAATAATTGGTTTTATTAAAAATTGCAATGTAGAGTAAAAACGTAACCTAGGAATTATGTAAAAGAGTGACTTTGAGAAACTAGATTAAAGACTTGCCCACCCAACAAGTTGACAAAAAAAAGATACGTTAATGAAGTAGGAAACCATTCTTTATCAAGAGATAAATGAAATTCATTGATGTAATAGAAAAAGCGATAGTGATTGTGGCGGGATTTCAAATATGTATGTAATATTGTGTTATCTCGCCTTATTTTTTTTCTATTTATATCCTAGTAAAAATTGCAACTGTAACTTGATGGCATATTAACACGCACATTGGTTGAAACGTGTGGTTTAAAATAAACTGAATCACTTAATAAATTTTATCTTAGCCAAACTTTAAAATTTTATATAGTTCGGATTAATGCACTTAAAAAATCTGTGCTTGGTTATGCATATTGCATATTGCATCATTTATAACGTAGACAAAATTTTTAAAGTTCATTAATTTTAGGGTTAGTTTTCGCATAAGGTTAGAAGCTAAGTGGGTATATAGTAAAATCGTACAAGAAAACTTTTGTTAGAGCACAAACGAACGTTTGTTTTGAAATTTTCTGATCGTGATACGTTACATCTGGTTCTCGAAATCTGATTTGTAAATCAGAAGATCTACGTCATTAACCTAGCACAGATTTTTCGAATGCCGGATTAATTATTAAGCATTCGTAATGCCTTCATTATACTATCAGCTATGCATTACGGCGGATTTGTCAAATTTAACTGATTTTTGGTCCCCAATTTTAAGTTTTGGGGACAAATTTAATATTAATT